TTTCTTGGAGACTTTGTTCATTCCTTTTTGCGCTTTTTTCTCTGATCTTCGTTTCTCGTTTTATTTCATTGAGTTGGTCTTCGACTTCAGATATTCTTTCTTCTGCTTGGTCAATTCGGCTATTGAAACTTGCGTTTGCTTCACGAAGTTCTCGTATTGTGTTTTTCAGCTCCTTTAATTCATTCATATCCCTCTCTAAGGTATCCATTCTTGTTATCATTTCGTCAAATCTTTTTTCAAATCTTTTTTCAAGGTTCTTAGTTTCTTTATGTTGATTTAAAACATGTTCTTTTAGCTCACAAAAGTTTCTCATTATCCACCTTCTGAAGTCTAATTCTGTCATTTCATCACAGTAATTCTCCGTCCAGCTTTGTTCCCTTGCTGGTGAGGAGTTTTGGTCCTTTCTAGGTGGCGAGGTGTTCTGGTTTTGGGTGTTTTCCTCCTTTTTGCGCTGGTTTCTTCCCATCTTTGTGTATTTATTCACCTGTCGTCTGTGTAGTTACTGACTTTTTGATTGGATCTCTGAGTGGACACCCAGATTGTTGATGATGGAGTATTTCTGTTACTTGGTTTTCCTTCTACCAGTCTAGCCCCTTCACTGTACGACCGCTGAGGTCCACTCCAGGCCCTGCTTGTCTGGGGTGCACCTGTAGAGGCTGCGAAACAGCGAGGGATGCTACCAGTTTCTTTTTCTGCTATCTTTGTCCCAGGATGATGTCTGCCGAATGTCAGTCTTATAGATATAGAGGGGTCAGGGAGTTGCTTGAGGAGACAGTCTGTAGGAGTTCAGGTGGTGAGCTGTGAGCTCTGTTGTTCATTCAGGGCTGCTAGGCTTCTATGTTTAGTTCTGCTGCAACCTAACTCGTAAGAAAACCCCTTTTTTTTTCCTCAGATCCTCTGTCTGGGGGGAGGTTGGGGCTTTCCTTGTGAGTGTCCTCCTCACTGTCCCGCCCAGCTAGGAGGCAGTCTAGTCACTTTTTGCCTGCTGAGGCTCCGCCCTGCTGGTGTGAGGTTCGCACTTTTCCTGCAGGCTCTGCCCTTCTGCTGTGGTCTCCGCCCTGTTGCCTCGGGCTACGCCCTGTGGCGGAGTCTCTCTGTTGTACCGGGTTGCCTCGGCAGCGGCAGGCTGCGTCAGCAATGGGCGTGTACCTCAGTAGGGCCTGATTGCCTCGGTAATGGCTGACGGCCCTCCCCCACGGAGCTGCGCTTTAAAAAAAAACCTATTCACCGGGAGCGTTTGGAATCGCTGTTTTGTTTGTCGCACTGCGCTCCCCGAAACACTGAGTCCCTGGGATTTCCTGGGCTGGGTCGGAGTTCAAGACCCGTTCAGTCTCAAGTTCAGCCCTCTTGGGTCTTAGTTTGCTGGTTCAACAGGGCTCCCGTAACAGTGCGCTTTTGTATGGAGCGCTGTGGAGCGCCTCTGCGCTCCGGCGCGGGCCGGAGCCTCACCGGCTGCCGGCTACGCCAGCGGAGACGTCTGCCTGGCGTCCCGCCTCTCTTTTATACCTGGGAATTTCCCCGTTCTGTGGGCAACTAAGATCCATCTGGAAATGCTTCCCCGACTCACCCTCTCCGTGCGTCCAGCGAGAGCTTCAATCCTGGGTTGTTCTCACAGCGCCATCTTGAGTCCTCCCTCCAAGTTAATCTTTTTCTTAGTTTTGTGTCAAGTGTTTTTTTTTTTTTTTTTCCAAACTGGGCAGTATTTATCCTGTGAGGCACTAGATGGTGCTGTTGAAAATTTTGTTAATAGTCCTTTTTCAGCTTTATTGAGATATAATTGACAAACAGAAATTGCATATGTATGATATGATGATTTCATGTAAGTATACACTGTGAAATCATTTCCCTAACAAAGTTAATCAACACATTCATTACCACATATACCATTTGTGTGTGTGTGTGTATGTATGTGTGTATGTGTGTGTTAAGAATGCTTAAGATCTACTTTGTTTTTCACTTTTATTTTAGGTTTAGCTTTTGTTATATACGTAAGCGTATGTCATGTGTTTTTTAAAATCTGTACAATAATTTGTTGTACAGATTATTTTATCACCTAGATATTAAGCCTAGTACATATTAGTGAATTTTTCTTATCCTCTCCCTCTTCCCAGTCTCTATCCTCAGGTAGGCCCCAGTGTCTGCTGTTCTCCTCTTTGTGTCAATGTGTTCTCATCATTTAGTTCCCACTTATAAGTGAGAACATGTGGTATTTGGTTTTCTGTTTTTGCATTAGTTTATTTAAGGATAATGGCCTCCAGCTCCAGCCATGTTCCTGCAAAGGACATAATGTCATTCTTTTTTATGGCTGCATAGTATTCCATGATGTATACATACTACTTTTTTTTATCCAGTCTTCTATTGAGGGACATTTAGGTTGATTCCATTTCTGTGCAATTGTGAATGGTGCTGTGGTGAACATATGCATGCATATGTCTTTATGGTAGAATTATTTGTATTCCTTTGGGTATATACCCAATAATGGAATTGCTGGGTGGAAGGATAGTTCTGTTTTTAGCTCTGTGAGGAACTGCCACACTGCTTTCTACAATGGCTGACCTAATTTACACTCCCACCAACAATGTATAAGTGTTTATTTTTCTCCACAACCTCACCAGTACCTGTATGTTTTAATGTTTTTTTTTGTTTTTGAGACAGGGTCTTACTCTGTCACCCAGGCTGGAGTGCAGTGGCAAAAATCTTGGCTCACTGCCACCTCTGCTTACAGGTTCAAGCTATTCTCTCACCTCAGGTTCCAGAATAACCTGAATTACAGCCATGTGCCACCACGTCTGGCTAATTTTTGTATAATTTTTTAGTAGAGACTGGGTTTCCCCATGTTGGCCAGGCTGGTCTTGAACTCCTGACCTCTGGTGATCTGCCCACCTTGGCCTCCCAAAGTGCTGAGATTACAGGTGTGAGTCACCATGCCTAGCCTATCTTATGTTTTGATTTTTTAATAGCCATTCGAATTGGTATGAGATGGTATCTCATTGTGGTTTTGAATTAAGATCTTCCTTAGCAAATTTCAAGTAAATAATATAATAATTTCAAGTAAATAATATAATATTAACTATAGCCACTATGCTGTACGTTAACTCCTCAGGACTTGTTCATGTTATAGATGAACCACACTTGAAAGGCATTAGATAATTACGAGCAACCCTTCCACCACCATCAACCTCAATATATCATGTCTTTCTTAAAATCTTCAGTGATTTCTGAATGCCTTCTGAATAACATCTAGACTTCTTGAGCTGATATATAAGGCTCTCTATGGTCTAGGTGCAATTTACCTTACCAAGTTTCTCTCTCACTTCTCTCTTTTGTACACAGTATAGTTAGAAGAAACAAGGCTGGGCGCAGTGGCTCATGCCTGTAATCCCAGCACTTTGGGAGGCCAAGGCAGGTGGATCATGAGGTCAGGAGTTTGAGACCAGCCTGACCAACATGGTGAAACCTCGTCTCTACTAAAAATACAAAAATTAGCTAGGGGTGGTGGTGCACACCTGTAATCCAAGCTACTCAGAAGGCTGAGGCAGGAGAATTGCCTGAACCTGGGAGGTGGAGGTTGCAGTGAGCCAAGATTGTGCCACTGCACTCCAGCCTGGGTGACAGAGTGAGACTTAAAGAAACAACTATTTTAGTATACCAGCGACATGTGCCATAAGCTTTCCCACCAGGCTGTCTTTTTTTCCACAGTATTTTTCTTCTTGAAATGGTCTTTCCTCCTTCCTGAAATTCTGTTTCCTCCTTCCTTGCATATGCAAAAATGACCCATCATTCAGCTCAAATTACACTTTCTTGACTAAGTCTTCCCTCAGCCTCTATCTGAAGTAATTTCTCTTTGAAGAACTTCAAGAAAAACTTAAATCTTGCAAATCTTGATTTGTATGAATATCTTATCCCCTAAAATATCTGGTTGATATATAAAAAAGCATCCCACACAGGGCCTAGCACATATGTACTTTGCCCATAAGTGCTCAGTAAGTGTTGAGTGAATGACTAAATTAATTATAGGACAAGTTTAATGTATGAAGGTATTATTTGTCATTTAAAACTATTTGGAGATATCTTCTCATTCCAATACAAATTAAAATTTTTCCAGTGTTAGTCTGAAGTTGCTGTGTAAATAAAGTTGCTTCCTAACGTGTCAAGGAGAGTACTAAGCCATAAGGCTAACCGTAATGTTAAAAAACACAGATAATGTCCATTGTGGTGGCATGTGCCTGTAATGCTGGCTACTCAAAAGGCTGAGGAAGGAGGATTGCTTGAGCTCAGGAGTTTGAGACTAGCCTGGGCAAAACAGTGAGGCCCTGTATCTACAAAATAAAAATTCCCACCCATATTTTTGATATAGACTAGTCATTTGTCCATTACATGTTATAATTAAATTGGAAATTCTCACATCTTTGAAAGATGCTAAATAAAGCTGATAAATAATTATAAAAATATACAAAGAAACAAATGGTCTCTAGTCTCATTAATAACTTCCCAGTCTTTGCAGACCAAAATAAGCTTTTCTAAAAATTTTAATATTTAGGTTCAGTTGTTTATTTATAATGAAGTCAACAATTTGTATTAATCCATAAAAAGATTGTAAAACTTTCAAACAAGTAGTGAATTCTAGAATGGTAGAGATCATTTGGTACAAGCCACTCATTTCACAGATTATGGCTTTTCTTGTCTGAAACAGCATTTAATTTGTTTTTTAGAATTTATTGTGATACCCCAATAATGTTACCCTCCACTAGATGAATACAGAGAGTTTCTTTGGAAATCTAACATCCTTAAGACCTCATCCCTGATAGCTTCGAAGCGTGAAGAGGTTACAGTACAGTATTGTAAAAGCCGTTTTAGCAGAAAACAAATGGAGTTAATAAAAGCTAGCAACAAACGTAAATAGGATTTATTTCATTTTTGTAAAAATAATGAAGTAAGTTACTTTGTTAAGATAACTGCAAGTTGAAAGAGCAAGGTTCATTTGAAAAATTCAGGCATACCTCTTTCTGGCACTGTAGTACCTTCACAAATGTTCCTTCTTAACAGTGTTCAGTGCTTTTTGTGGTGTAATATCAGAGGAAGCCCAAGCTGCAATCATAAGATAGAAAAGGAAGTTAGCAACTGTAGAAGCAGTCCAGAAGGGTCATGAGGACTTAGCCGCCTTGTTTACAGATCCAGAGTGTGTGATGGGGCATCAAAGCTTTACTGAGAGATTTAGGGCTAGTCATTGAATTCTGGTCTCCTTTTTCCTCCATCTGTTTCTACATTCCCAGGGGAAAACTTGGAATACAGACAAGAGCTGGTCACAGATGTTTGCTGCTGTGTGCATGTTGCTTCTGTATCCAAAAATGAACACACTATTATAAAATACTCCTTTCTCTATGAAACCAGGATATTTCCTCTATCTTCTCTTCTAAACACTTTGGTATAAACTTAAGAGGGGAAGTAATTTGGAACTTTACATCCAAGGATCTGGATTGCTAGTAAAAGGAGTTAGAACATTAAGAATATCAACTATATCTGTCTGGAATGGCTTAGAAGTAGTTTTCTTTAAAGGTAGAATGGCTTAAAGAACCCTGCAATCTTCTCCTTACAAACCATAATAGCACTTAATGTTTATATTGCTAATATGGCATATATTATATACTTTTGGAGATCAACTGTTTTCTAACTTTGTATAGTTAACTTTTTGTAAGCATATATCTTTTCAATTAAATTATATTCAATAATCTAACAAAGTATAACAAATCTCCAAGAAATGAGCAGAGAGAGATGGGCTTTCTTGAGGGAGTAGCAACCTGAATGCTTTTCTTCTAAGTTTTTGTTGTTCTATAGCAACTTTAATTTCTGCCTGCAAGGCCTGCAGAGGCTGGCTACTCTTCCTTTATCTGTGGTCTAAGAACCAACAAAATAAACACTTTCCTTCAGTTTATTCTTTCTTTCTTTCTTTTTAAATTGAGACAGAGTCTCACTCTGTTACCCAGGCAGGAGTGGCTGGAGTGCAGTGATATGATCTCCGATCACTGCAACTGCTGCTTTCCGTGTTGAAGCGATTCTCTTGCCTCAGCCTCCCAAGTAGCTGGGATTACAAGTGTGCACCAACATGGCCAACTTTTTGTATTTTTAGTAGAGATGGGGTTTCACCATGTTGAGCAGACTGGTCTCAAACTTTGGACCTCAGGTGATCTGCTTGCCTTGGCCTCCCAAAGTGCTGGGATTATAGGCATGAACCACTCACTGCACCTGGCCCCTTCAGTTTAATCTTTTTTTAAAAAAACTATATATTTTATTGCGTTTTAGGTTTTGGGGTACATGTGAAGAACATGCAAGATTGTTTCATAGGTATACACATGGCAATGTGGTTTACTGCCTTCCTCCCCATCACGTACATCTGGCATTTCTCCCCATGTGATCCCTCCCCAACTCGCCACCCCAGTTTAATCTTAACAAGTAGAAACAGACTGGAACTTTCTAAAGGAACTCTACTGAAAAAAAGAAAATCAAAAGGAAAATAAAAGAAATACAAAAATAAAAAAATATAGTCTATTAGTTTACACTGCCACCAACAGTGTAGAAGCGTTCCTATTTCTCCACATCCTCTCCAGCATCTGTTGTCTCCAGGTTTTTTAATGATCGCCATTCTAACTGGCATGAGATGGTATCTCAATGTGGTTTTGATTTGCAATTCTCTGATGACCAGTGATGATGAGCATTTTTTCATATGTTTGTTGCATGCCTCATGTCTTCTTTCGTAAAGTGTCGAACAGACACTTTTCAAAAGAGGACATATATGAGGCCAACAATCATATGAAAAAATGCTCATCGTCACTGGTCATCAGAGAGATGCAAATCAAAACCACATTGAGATACCATCTCACGCCAGTTAGAATGGCGATCATTAAAAAATCTGGAGACAACAGATGCTGGAGAGGATGTGGAGAAAAAGGAACAATTTTACACTGTTGGTGGGAGTGTAAATTAGTCCAACCACTGTGGAAGACAGTATGGCGATTCCTCAAGGCCTTAGAAATAGAAATTCCATTTGACCCAGCAATCCCATTACTGGGTATATACCCAAAGGACTATAAGTCAGTCTACTATAAGGACACATGTACACGAATGTTTATTGCAGCACTGTTTACAATAGCAAAGACCTGGAATCAACCCAAATGCCCATTGATGATAGACTGGATTGGGAAAATGTGGCACATATACACCATGGAATATTATGCAGCAATCAGAAATGATGAGTTCGTGTCGTTTGTAGGGACATGGATGAATCTGGAGGACATCATTCTCAGCAAACTGACACAAGAACAGAAAATGAAACACCGCATATTCTCACTCATAGGTGGGTGATGAAAAATGAGAACACATGGACACAGAGAGGGGAGTACTAAACACTGGGGTCTATTGGGGGGAAAAGGGGAGGGCCAGTGGGAGGGGGAGGCGGGGAGGGATAGCCTGGGGAGAAACGCCAAATGTGGGTGAAGGGGTGAAAGCAAACAGAACACACTGCCATGTGTGTACCTATGCAACTGTATTGCATGCTTTGCACATGTACCCTAAAACCTAAAATGCAATAAAAAAATAAAAAAAAGAATTTCAAAAAAAAAAAAAAGTGTCTGTTCATTTCCTTCTCCCACATTTTGATGGGGTTGTTTTTGTCTCGTAAATTTGGTTACGTTCTTTGTAGATTCTGGATATTAGCCCTTTGTCAGATGGGTAGATTGCAAAAATTTTTCCCATTATGTTGATTGCCAGTTCACTCTAATGATAGTTTCTTATTGCGGAAGACAGTGTAGCAAGTCCTCAAGGATCTAGAAATAAAAATACTATTTGACCCAGCAATTTCATTACTGGGTATATACCCAAAGGATTATAAATCATTCTATTATAAAGACATGTGCACATATATGTTCATTGTGGCACTGTTTACAATAGCAAAGACTTGGAACCAACCCAAATACCAATCAATGATAGACTGGATAAAGAAAATGTGGCACATATACACCATGGAATACTATGCAGCCATAAAAAAGGATCAGTTCATGTCCTTTGCAGGGACATGGATGAAGCTGGAAACCATGATTCTCAGCAAACTGACACAAGAACAGAAAACCAAACACTGCATGTTCTCATTCATAGTGAGTTTTTAACAATGAGAACACATGGACACAGGGAGGGGAACATCACACACTGGGACCCATTGGGGGGTGGAAGAGCTGGCGGGGACAGCAGGGGTTGGGGGGATTGGGGAGGGATAACATTAGGAGAAATACCTAATGTAGATGATGGGGGGATGGATGCAGCAAACCACCATGACATGTGTATACCTGTGTAACAATCCTGCACAATCTGCACATGTACCCCAGAACTTAAAGTATAATAATAATATAAAAATCAGGAGACAAAAGATGCTGGAGAGGATGTGGAGAAATAGGAACACTTTTACACTGTTGGTGGGAGTGTAAATTAGTTCAACCATTGTGGAAGACAGTGTGGTGATTACTCAAGGATCTAGAAATAGAAACACCATTTGACCCAGCAATCTCATTACTGGGTATATACCCAAAGGATTATAAATCATTCTATTATAAGGACACATGCACATGTATATTTATTGCCACACTGTTTACAATAGCAAAGACCTGGAACCAACCCAAATGCCCACCAATGATAGACTGGATAAAGAAAATGTGGCACATATACACCATGGAATACTATGCAGTTATAAAGAGGATGAGTTCATGTCCTTTGCAGGGACATAGATGAAACTGGAAACCATTCTCAGCAAACTGACACAAGAACAGGAAACCAAACACTGCATGTTCTCACTCATAAGTGGGTGTTGAACAATGAGAACACATGGACACAGAGAGGGGAATATCACACACTGGGGCTTGTTGGATGGTGTGGGGGCTAGGGGAGGGATAGCAGGGCATGGGGAATGGGGAGGGATAACATTGAGAGAAATACCTAATGTAGATGACTGGGGGATGGATACAGCCAACCACCATGGCACATTTATAACTATGTAACAAATGTACATATGTACCTATGTAACATATGTACATTCTGCATATGTACCCCAGAACTTAAAGTATAATTTGAAAAATATAGTCTAGTTTTAAAAGTAGAAACCTAAACCCACAGCTGCAATATTGCAGTTTGAGATCCCCTTGTACTCAGATGATCATTTCTCGGATCTTCTCCACTTTCTTCTCCCACTCCAAATTGTTCCTTCTTCTCTAGATAAGGATTTGACATATGTAACCTACTACAGTCTGTGTAAAGTTTGTGTTACCAGTGCAAAATTACTGTGTTGTCTTTTATATTTTGTTGATCGGAGAATAAATATATATTTTTAGCTTGTTTAGCTTGTCCCAGGTCTTTGTACATCAATAAAGATCTAGTGAGTGAATGTTGAATGTATAAAAATCCTTTCTGATCCTGAAATTAAATGATTCTACTCATCTGTGTAGAAAATTAACTTGGCTCTGTCACGGTTTTGTGTTTCGACAAAAAGCTTATATTTTTCCCTAGTGTGTGGGACAAGAAAGAAAGTTTATGAATTTCTAAGACCCATCTATGAGAATTGTAATATTGCTAGCCTAATGCACTAGTTATCCATTTCCATGGTGGCTGTGCAATTACAATTTAGTACAATCTTTACATACACAAATGAGTAAATGTCACATTGTCTGGGCAACAATGTAGTATTTTTCAAGTTCGGGATTCTGAAGGGTCTTCTATGGTTCCTTTAGGAATTAGCCTTCATAGTAGATACTCAATACTTTCACTCCTTGCTTCTCTTTCCTTTTCAGTTCCTTGAGGACTCTTGTCTCTAAACGGAGCTCTGTCAATATTGGGCTCTACCATTGTGAACTGGATGACAGGGAGGGTAAATGTGAGTTAATAAGTAAAATGTGGTCATGTGATTTTGATTTTAATTGTTTAATTAAGGAGCTACTCACATCATTTATTTGGCTCATGTTAAGTCCAATTCAGTTCAGGTTATCAAATATTCAAGGAGCCTCTATTCTTATAAGGAAGAGGATACTTTTTCTGCATTAGCCCTTAGCATC